TAATTTCTTGCCTTATGGCAGCAAGGGTGCCCACCATGTCTTCCAAGTTGTCAATAAGATTACCCCTTCCTATCAATGTACTTTCCATTGATTAGGGCGTCTTGACTCTATGCAATCCACATGAGAACTCACAGAACTCATATTGCATAGTCAACTTAAACCAGAATGGCACATAAAATAAATTATATCAACACGATAGGTTATAAACCTCAAGTCGTACGCTAGTGTTTAATCTTTATTGATCTTGAATCCTTTCAAGATCTTCAGACTCCCACTGACCTCTTGACATATTAGATTCTCTTATCAAGAACATTTCTTGATAAACAAACATCCAACAGTTAGTGGGTGTCTATATCAAGACAAAACTTTACACACATTTGGTCTTAGTTGGTCTTTGTCTTTTTCAAGACATCACAACATACCAAATTCAAATGTGTAGGAGTAGGAAAACAATTTTCTACTTCACACTTGATAAATGTGTTTCACTAAATTCGTAATCTTGGAGTACGATTCTAAGACTTGATTTTGGAACGAAGTATGACTCATCCTTTTGATTTAACCATTTAAACAATTTTCGATTCCTCTTATTAGTCATACTAGTGCACTAAGATGTCCTTAGAGAATCAATTGTGATATAGTTATTAATCATTAAGACCTATCATAAAACATAATAAAAAGTACTCTCCCTTCATCTTAAAATAGAGAAACTTTAATCTCTCTGCCTACTTGATTCTTCTTTATTCGCTTTGCTATTTATTGAAACTCTTTCAATCAACTGAGAATTACACTTAATCTCATAAGTATAATCATATTTACTTAACCTTAGTAAATCATGACGAATATCTTTGTTACTCTTGTGGTGGACTTGATCAACACACAACCTTTGTGTACTTGATCTCCTAGTCCTTCACTTGACACTTTGTCAACGAATTAGTCTAATTTCCAAATATGAAATTTATCATTCATCATGCAACCAAGTTGTATGATTCAAGTTTCTGTCTAACTGAAACTTGGGTAATGATAAAATTTCCCTATTTGGTAAATTCTTGACCTTTCCACAAATAACATAATCCATTATTGCTAATAACTGAAACATTCTAAGATTAATTTTTCATACACGCCATTGCAAGGATAAATAAATAATATAAAATCAAATTTATTTTATTGAGGAAAAATTTGTCCTTACAATGCAATTGAAAAACTATGTTGTTACATATTCCTAAGCAATCTATTATAACTCCAAGTAGTAGCTTAAGAATCTAATCTTCAAGCAATGCGATCGAAATCCATTTCTTCACGATTAGATTCAGCTCACTTCTTCCCTTAAGCTTCCTTTCTTTTCTTTGATCCTACAAAACATCAAAATGTAATCTTATTACATCATGTATCAATAATCTAGAATAGGAACTTAAAAGAGTTCGTTGATGGATCTTACCTGAAGTAGAGCCATGCATTTTGACTCTCCCATCTCTTAGATCTCTTAGGTAAATAGGGCAGCTTTGTCTCTAATGCCCCTTCTCTTGGCAATAAAAGCAAGTGGACTCTTTTGGAATGGCACAAGGAACTATCTCAGAATCTACCTTTTTCTGGATCTCCAATGTCACCATTTCAACATCCATTGAAGTTTGGGAGTTTGTTTTACCAGACAAATTTGCTCAACCAGCTCGCCAAATCATCGGTGATTCAGCAGCTATAAGCAAACAGGTCAAATCAATGAGGGTCACGTCATGATCCATCATATAGTACTCTCTAACGAACTCACTATATGATTCAGGAAGCGACTGAAGAACCCAGTCAATAGAGAACTTACCTGAAATCTCGACACCCAACATCCTTAACCTATCAATGTGTGACTTCATCTCTAAGACGTGTACACACACAGGTTTCCCATGTTTACTTGCCAAAAGGGCGTGAGTGAGCTTGAACTTTTCAAACCTTCGAACTTGTAGGTTAGGGAGAATAATTGGAGGAGGTGGAGGAAGTGAAGCATGATCTCTTGTTCCTCGATCGAATCGTGAATCATCATCTTCATTTGGAAAGCTTGCTCCATGGAATTTAGGAAGGCCATAGTTGTCATACTTTGACATCTACAAAATGGGAGAAAATTCAAGTTAAGATGATTAGAATCCTTGATGTGACACCCAAATGAAACATGGAGGCTAGGATCCAACACAATACTCTACAACCTAGAAGAGGGATGTCGTAATCTAGTTGCAGAATATTTTAAGGTAGGTAAATGACGATTTACCAATTTCCACCATGAAAATGAAAAGGAAACTTAAGTTTTAAATGTATTGAAAACTCCTAGATCTTTTGAGATTCATTGAACTTTTCAATGGTATGTTTAAATATCGACATGCCCCTCGATTTGTGACTGGGATGCCGAGGATCACAAAAACAGGGTGTGAATAACCATGCAACCTTACATGGTGCCCCCAATGTTACAGTCACCTATTTGATGTGCCGGTTAACCACACACGCTCTACCGAACTATGACAAACATTGAATCACCCTTTGCAACATTTGCTTAGAACCATTTACTGTGCCGGTTAACCACACGCGCTCCACTAACGTCTTCGCAAGGGCACAAAGTGTAATTTCATGGAATTGCATCAATTCAATTTTGCCTAAAGTAACTAAGATTGGGAATTTTGAAAAAAAAAAGTTTAGTTACTTTATACTTCATTATACTTTTAATGGAAAGGGTTTGCCCTATCCTACCCGTTTGGCTAACGACCCTCCACCAATCAAGGAAGCGGTGGGTGAGAGTGGACACCCATTAAACGACCATTTTATAGGCCATAACCTTATATCCCCCTTATAGATCGGTTTCGTGAATGAGTCCTACTAACGGTAAGACTAGCATTTAAGTTATACATATATAATATTAGACTTTTAATGTTACACATAGTATAAGGGTGTATTTTACACTTTTAAAATACTAGGTGGTTTAATTTTATAAATTACACTCTTAATATAAGCCATATCATTATGGATTTATTAACTCTCTTTTAATTATACACTTAATTAATTTAATAAAACCATAAGGGTGTAATTTGAACTTTTCAAAATTAGGGTTTTAGAATTTAGACTTTTTCAAAATTAAACATTTTAATCAAACAATTTAAATTCCAAAACTTGAGGGCAAGTTTTGAAACTTTTCAAAACATAAGCAAGAACATTCTAGATCAAATTACAAATAATAATAATTAACAAATTAATTAGTAATTATCTAACCATGACCTTAATCAGAGTATGAATCTATGAAAGTATGAGAGATTTGCACAAGGATGTAAATAAAATATGTTTTCAGCTCAACATTATGCTTTGTGTTTACAGAGAATTCTTAGATAAAATCTGTAAAAATGTTATCTTCTCCTCTAGTAAAGACTCCTATTTATAGGAGAACAAAGCATACAAAAAATATACTAAGGACTATGCGTGAAGTGCTCTTAATACATTGCCTTAGTAAAATAAATTCATAACATACGAAGACATGAAACCTTTCGTATGACAATCTACACCCTTCGACTTATTACAACATTTTTACTCCTATAATCTCCCCCTTTGTAATCAAGGTCGAAGTCTTCAGTTGGTCAGTAGTTGGATTGAATACATCATAACCCTTTGAATCTCTGTATACCATGAAATAATCTTCTTAATCTCCTTCTTATCTCCCTCGTTGTTCTTTCTGTAGTGGTTCATACGAACAATTAAATTCATATATTGAGATGTGTTGTATCTTTCCACTTCGCAAGTTTGGAATAAAAATCTTTTAGCCCATCCTGCCTTGTCTTTTCTTGCGAAGACAATTCCCAATGGCTTTAAGCAGATTTCACCATCTTCAAATTTCTTCAGATCTACTTGTTTCTTCGTGGGTGCCATTGGTGCAGTAATCTCTATTCCTTTTGTCGTGGCCAACTCCACATCTGTTTAAGCAAGGCACTCAAAATAGTTTTCAATGCAAACTTTGATGTGTCGGCATCCAAGTTTGAAAACATCCGGTTCTGTTTCTTGAAGATAGGAAAATGACTTGTCCTTTAGCAACAGAGCAATTTGTATAAGATCATACAAATTCATCAATGGAAAATCTGCTATGGTAAAGTCACACACTTTTCCACTTGATCTGATCACCGTGTATCTGATATTCTGAATAAATTCTTCAAAAACTACATCTCTTTTGATACTGATAACTTTCTTTATTTTCTCCAGTGACCAGACCTCTTCAGGTGCTTTCCCCAATATTGCATGAAAACGAATTTTTAACATTTTCCCTTCATCAACATCTTTACACTTAACCTCTACTTTGAATTGAGACATGATAAACATCATATCATTCATAGGAAAATCCAGCTAACTTGAATCAGAATTAGTGACCACATAGCTTTTCTTCGGAATCTTCTCAAATGAGTATATGTGATCAAACATAAATTTGGATTCTATTGATTCATAATTGTACTGCTTTGATGGATCTCCTTTATCATGCTTTGATGGATCTTGAGCACGAATAGCCATAATGCTCTGAAGTTGTCTCATCTTTTCTAATTCTTCATTAATTTCAGCTATCCTTTCTTCTTTGGTCTTTTCTACGAAGATCCCTTTACCTCTATCTTTTGCAGTTGTCTCAGTTATCACAATCTTCGATTTTGAAGCACTCCCAGTTGATTCACCAATAACAACACCTTTCAAAAGTGGTCTTGTCATTGGGGTTGTAGTAATCACAGTCGAAGTAACTGGACCAGCTGAAACTATTATTGGCTTTGTAGTAGAAACATTCGAAAGAAATACCTTTCCCACCACCTTCGCATCAGTCTTCATTTCTTGGCTTTCTTTGATATTTTCCCCAGCCTTCGTAAATTCTATCTTCTTTTCTCCCCCTTACACCCCTGTGAAAGCAGGTGGGCATCCGATACTGCTGGAAGAAGGCTGGATATGCGAACAATAGGTGATAATTGTTAATGTAAGATTTCTTCGAATTGCACAAATTTATGGGATAAAAATTACGGAGTAATGAGAGAGGATGACACTGGTTTGACTGATAACTCCTTCAGTTCCTTTAACAAAGTAACCAATTCATCAAAATGTTTTGCAGCCTGTTCAGAAAGATTAATGACTTGAGGATTCATTGTTTCATATAGCTTGACAAATCTAGTGACAGCATTATAGATAATGTCAACTTTTTGATTGATGGATGCATAATCTTGTTGTACAACCTGAACTTCCTTCTGCATATCTTCCCGAAGTTCTGCAATTTGTTGATTAACATCTTCACGAACTTTCTTTACTTCTTGAACATACAAAACATGCGTTTCTCTCATGACAACTTTCAAGTCCTTCACTTCGTGTAAGAAATCCTTTCTTTGAGAACTCATTCTATTATCATTTGTTTGATCATTAAGATCAACTTTCTCCAACACCCTTGCTCCAGAATCCCGTATCATCCTAGAAACTTTGTTTGTAACACGTCCTTCAAAGATTTTCAACATAGAATCCACCTCCAAACTTGAAACATATGAAGTACCTCCTATATCAGCCTGAGTTTGCAAAATCGAATTCAACTTTGAATTTAGAATTTAGAATTGCTTCATGGGCATCAACATGTGATCTGGAAACGCTTCTTCTGTGTCATCAAACTGTAATGCTTCAAAGGTTCCTCCAAAACATTCAGTATCAGTTTCATTTTCCATTGTATCATCAACAGGTGAGGTTGTTTTTGGTGGATCAGTGGATTGAGATGAAAAGAGTGAAGTAAAAGGGGTATTGATGATGTTTTCGAAAGTAGGTGAATCAGTGCTAGAGGTAATTGGAGGTAACGACACAATGCTTTCAGAAGTTAAAATAACAATACCTTGATCATCACACTTTGCAGTTTTTGGACTCTCAATCTTCGCATTTTCAGAATCATCAGGCTTCACATTATCTGAACCCATAATGACATTTGTATCCGTATTAGATACGTTTACATTGATGTCATCAGCCTTCGATTGGTCACCAACCAAAATTGCTTCCGGAGTGTCAGGAATGACTTCTTCTTCATCTGTTGAAATATTTCCAAGAATCAACTTTCGTAACTTCTTGGATTTCTTCTGTTGTAAATGCTTTGCCATGTTTTTAGCCTGTCGTTTCTTTGAAGATGGAGAAACATGCGCTGGAACCTCCCTGATAATAACCCCTTGATGTGTGACATGCGATTTACAAACAACATGAGGTGAAACTTTTCATGAACTTTTAAATTTCACCTTAATTCTTTGAAAAACTCCAGTTTTTGAAGGAATAGTTTCTTTCTCCTGAGTTTCGTCAATTATAGGAGAATCGACCATTGTATTATCAACAACTGAAACATCTTGTGGAATAGAGTCATCAACATATGCAGATTTCTTTTTAGGAGATTTTTGTGTCTTCGTTTTCTTGACTGGTTTCTCAGAAGAACCAAATTCATCTTTCTTTCCTCTCCTTGATTTCTTCTTCTCCTTTTCCAATAGAATACCAGATGAAACTGTGCTATCTATTGTTTGTTTGTATGTCAAAAACACAGAATTGGTAGGATCCACCTTCTTCAGCATTGCATCAGGAATTCTTGCAACTTTCGGAAATATATCCACATCATCAACTATATCCTTCGGAATAGCATATACAAGAAAAGTAGCCTTCTAATCATCATTAGACACCAAAATACCTATCTTTTTGTAAAAATATTGCAAGATCAAGATCCAGTATTTTGCACACGAAATTGCATGCTTTGCATCAGTATTTTCAACACTTTTCTGAAATTCTGCCCATAATTGCGAACCGTAATCTACCGGTAAGTCGTAGTATAGCCCTGCAACCATGGCATATACTTCCATTCGTCCTTTATCAAGACCCACTATTCGTCCTGTTAAGCATCTTAGGAAGATACCAAACAAAAAATTCCACATACTAGGAAGACTTGACTTCTTGAAATCACTAATTCTTGATAACTGATGTTGATGTCCTATCTCATTGAACATATGAACAATTTGAGGATAAGTAAATTCCTCAAATGGTGGAGTATTAGGGATATCCAGAATTTGACAAAAGAGTTTCTTGGTGAGTTTGACCTTTTTATCATTGATGATATGAAACACAATTGCATCAAACGCCTTAGCAACAAAAGTAGTTGAACCATCTTGAGACAACCAAGAGATTGGTACAGAAAAGGAGTTGAACATCGCCGTGGATAATACTGAACATTTCAAGGAAATCACCATCATCTTCAATTCATCAGGATACTTTGATACATCACCTTCAACTTGATAGTTAGTACCTTGGATCTTCATAATGGGCATGGAAGTTAATTCATCGGTATTTTGAGAAGGATCAGCATGAACATTAGCAGTCGCCATTGTTAGGGTTTTTGAGAATTTGAATTTGAAGAGAGAATTAGGAATTTTCTTTTAGAATCGTAAAGTGACAAGAGACTCATGAACCCCCCCCCCTTTTTTATATGTAACCCTTCCGTTTGAATTAAAAGCGGGATAACTTTTAATGAATGCTGACATGGCACCTTGAAAATCGAACCACTACTCCGTAGAAATAGCCATGCATCAAAAAGTAACTGTCCCATATCCGTAAATGTAGGATACGATATGATACGTCATTGAAATACAGCCTGTTTGGTTGCCCCAATAGAATTGTAACCGTCAGACCCCTTCGGATTGAGGTTAAGCTCTTTCACTTTTGGCATGAAAAGCGAAGTCATATGCCAGATGTATGAAATCATCAGCCTGAGTTGGTATTACTCAGAACCTCAAGGATTTCGTGAGTGCAGTGTTCCAAAGAAAGTTAGACAAGAAACAAATTTAAAAAAAAAAAAATTGGAATTTTGTGATGTCAAAATTTTATTTGACACAAAGGCGGGCAAAGATTACTTCATTAATTATCAAGAGAGATAATCAACAGCTTGTGTGGTTTCCCGTGAAATACAATCGATAACTTGTTGAAAAGTTTCGAAGGGTATCTTTTGTAAGGCCTTATAGGTGGCTTCGAAAATTTCGTTACATATCAACCTAAACATAAGGTGATCAATTGTAACATAAATTACTTGTTTGACCAGTGTAGCTAGTGACAAGTTGGTATTGAAAATTTTTTAAAGTAACAGGAATTTGCGAATTAAACTCACACGAAAATCATATTCATGAAAAAAAAATTACTGGATCTTGTTGGGTAACTAACATCATGATGTTCGAATGTTTGACCAAGACCACGCATAAGAAATGAATATGATTTGGAGTTTAGAAAAAAGAGGTACTAAAACAAAAGTTTCGTAAAATCTGGAACATAGTTCCCTGTCAATTCATTAAGTGGATAGATTTGTGGGTTTCACTTTAATCACGGTCTCATGATGTTAGATCATAAACACAGAGTTTGATATGTCTAAGTTTTGATTGGTTTTATCAAAGACCTCAAGGACATATCGCTTCGTATTTGAGAGTGATAGAATTTTTTGTTGAAAAAATATTGATGTAAGAAACGAAGCGTACCTTTGTTATATTTGGACGAAACAAGAAACTCTTAACTCATATGAGAAGAGTCAGGTAGCTCAGGAGAATAATGTGAGTACAAGCCTGGTTGGGAAGAAATCTTCGTATGAAAATTTCATTAAGGCTTTTTTTTATACACATAGAGTCATTGGAGGCTTAAGTCAACATACAACAACATGCTTCTAGGGACATCTGTCACACCCCCGAACCGGACGGCGGAAACGTCCGAGGGCCCTTGTGACTTAAATTGAATACCTTCACAATGAATATACATGAATCATAACATAAATCATCACCATGCATGAAAATAATACAACTGATATTGTTTACATCCAGTACTTTGTCTTAAACATTACAAATTCATAACATAATTGTTTGATAGATATCATATGCAAAACACCCTGACATTACTTGGTACTTATTCTTCGATTTACCTATTACCTGAGAATACAAGTTAATTTTGAAAAGCGTCAATATATGAAATGTTGGTGAGTTCATAAGCAATGTTGTGATAAAATCATTTTGTGCAGCTTGTAAAACCCAAAAAATATGATATTTTCTAAAAAGATCATTGTTTATAAAAAGTGTGAAGATCCGTGAATATATATATATATATGCTTGTTGATTTTAAAACGTGTATAAATGTTGAACTTTAGTATTAATCGCACAAGTGAAAATGTTGAACTTCCCAGGAAAAACCCGATGTTTTCCCAATACATAAAATACAGTGATTTCTCAATTGTTATATCGTCACGACGAATGATTTTGATTTCTCGGGTGGCATTGGATTAATTTAGGTTGTGAGTCGTTATACTCACAAGATAAATTTGTTTAAAAGTGGGATTTGATTCTTTCACTACCCTTCTTTTATAAAAATAACACTTTTGGTCCTTTTATATAAAAGAATTTCATTTTTACTCCTTAAAACATTTTTATGACACTTTTGTATCATTTATTTGATGAAAACACACTTTTAACCCAAAATTTATCTTGTGAACAGTTTCAACCCTCCCAGAATGATGATTCTCGGTTAGAACCTCATTTTTTCACAACTTTTTACAGTTTTGGCCCAAAATTCTAAAACTTTACATTTTTTATCCTTTTTGATAGTGAAAGCATTTTTGAATCTTAAAATGACTTTGTTATGCTATTTACCCCCCTGTTTTATCGAAAATTTCATTTCAGCTCCTAAAGTTTGTCATTTTTCGCATTTTGAGGCTTATTGGGCCGAAAAGCCCATAATTAGCCCATTAAGCTAAAAATTTACATTTTAAGTCGCTTAAAAATTTTTGTATTCAGAAAAATGATTATAGAATCTGTTTTGACACTTATGACCCTCAAGAAACCGTGACTTATCGATTTATAACCCAAGTTTTGTATTTTTGACAATTTAAAACCCTAAAATGGGTTTTATGTTAGAATATGTTCATCATAACCTTATAAGCTATCATTCTTAACTTGTTTGGTGTAAAATAGCTTAGATTATGCTTGTTTCCTTTCTCATGCCATAGATCTTGTGTTTACACCCCTTTTGTTAACATATTCATCACAAAAACACATGAAATCACACACATACATGCATTAAATCACACATAGCATACACATACACATAGATCTATAAATTTTCTTGTATTCTTCCCCATAATACTCATGAAAACCGAAAAGAAAGGGGTATGAAAGTCACCTTTTCTTGTTGAGTTCCATTTGAAGAAGAAAGGGAAGAATTTTGATGCTAACTTTCGATCCTATCAGGTCTTCTTGGTAGATCTTGAGTTTAGTGGCTTAGATGATGTAAGATCACAAGTTTGAATAGATTTAGCAGGGATTTTTGATGAAATGAAGTAGCTAGATTATGGATCTAAGCAATATCTTACCTTAGATGATGAGTTTTGTGGAAAATTTCCTTGAAAGCCTTCTAGATCTCGAAAATATGGAGAGGA